TGAGAAACTCGGCAAAAAGGCTTGAAATTTCTTCTTCTTTTCTTCTTAAATCACAAGATTTGGGGCTTAGAATCTTCCCTCTCAACCAGAAAAATCCCAGATGTGCTCTCTTCCTTCTGCCGCGAGCCCCTGTAGCTGGGTGGGTGAGATTTTCGGTTATTTTGGGTAAGAAACAGCCATTAATTTCCTTTTTTCTTCCTTGAATTGGCTTGGGTTAACTTTGATTTCTCTTGGTTTCTTCAATTTTGGGTTAATTTCCGTGAGCTTCCCCTGCACTGCCGCCGGCCTCCCTCCCCCAAACCCGCCAGCTCCGGCCTTGCTTATTGAATTCCGGTATGAACAGCTTCCTTTAAGTCCGAATTACCCACTTAATTGCTGCTTGTTGAGTTTTGATTGGTTGAATTGATTCCCCCTGGTTGTCCGAAAATTTTGTGGAAATAGGAAGAAATTCGGCAGCCATTTAAGTATATAATTTTAGCTTAAATTCATGTAGAATTTTCTGTGATTGGATTCCTGTGATGTTCTGTATGCATAGCCGGGCCTTAGTGCTGTTTTGCCAAGCTCGGTTCCTCCACTTTGTCCATTGGAAGTTTCCTGTTGAAATGGAGGAGTTTTGGCAGCCTTAAAACATGGGTTTTAAGCTTGCTTAATGTAGAAAATTAGCTTATTATGACTGTTGTGAGATTTTGGAGAGAAACCCCGTGAATTAGTTATTGTTTTGCCAATTTTGGAAGTTGAAGATACTGTTCATGGTACTGTTCATGGTACTGTTCACACATCGAGGGTCAACGATTAACGGGGATTTAAATGTTTAGTTTGTGATATAAGAATAAATTTGGAGATGTCTGGTCATGTGGAGATTGATAAAAATAGCATCGTGATTAGGGGTAGTGCTAAAGATGATTTCACTGTGAATTTGTGATAATGTGGTATTAACTGTGGAATATTGTGATTAGGTTTTGATCGTTCTATCACCGTAGCACTTGGGTTAGCCTTCTGTTATGTGCGAGTGAGGTAAGTAAATCATGGTAAAGCCCTTCGGTTTTAAAGTATGTTTTAAATTGTTTTTGAGATGGTGGCAAGGTTTAAATTGATTTTATCAGCATCTGAGTGTGATTAAACTGAAATGAAGATTGTGATGATTTTTATGAAAATTATTATTTTTTGGAATTGAGCATGATTGGAATGAAAATGAGAATTTCATTGTTTTTCTAAGGTTGAGCATGCCCACATGAAATTGTTTTTCATTTGCATTGAATAGAGCATGCCTATTTGGAATTGACTGAACTGCTTTGATGAACTGAGAGTTTTGTAAATTCTGAGTTTTTCTGTTAAATCCATGCTCACATGGAAATTTTTTGGTTTATTTTTTAAATTGGAGATTGATTGTGAATTTCGGGTTTTTTTGTAAATCCTGCATAGTTTTGTCTCTGATATGGTCATGTTTACTGTGCTTGCTAGTGGGAGGTTTATAAACGCTAGCACATGTCGACATGTATTTTTGTAGAACTGGTTCATCTTGCCAATAGGATAATACATTGGTAATTACTGATGCCTACCAGTGGGAGTTTGTTAAACACTGGTACTACTGACGCCTGCCAATGGGCGAATACATTGGTAATTACTGACACCTGCTAGTGGGAGTTTGTAAACACTGGTACCATTACTGACACCTGCCAGTGGGAGTTTGTAAACACTAGTACCATTACTGACGCCTACCAATGGAAGTTTGTTAAACACTGGTACTTCTGTAACCTTGTCAATGAGGTTAAACATTGGTAACTACTATGCCCGCCAGTGGGAGGTTTATAAACACTGGCCATGACCTATAGATGAGACTACTGATAAGTTTTATTCTGCATGAACAGTTTGTCATTGAACGATTTGTTATTAAACTGAATCTGATTTTGCATTGACGGTTTGTCATTGAATGCTTTGCAATTGAACTGAAATTGATTCTGCATTAACGGTTTATCATTGAGCATTTTGTTATGTTAAACTGTTTATCTGGCATGTTTAAAAGTTTTACCCAAGGGCTATCCATATTTACTTACTGAGTTACCTCCTAGTTTTCCTTGTCCACCATTTCAGGAAGCGAGATCAAGGACGAGGAAAAACGAGGGGAGTGACGAGTTAGAAGGCTAGCCATTTTGTATAGTGAACATAGATTGTAAATATAGATTATGATTTTGTAAGTTAGATTGGATTGGAGATTTTATAAATTCATTTAGTGGATTGTTAGTCTACAAGAGATTTGACCTCGAAATTTTGAGCTTAAGTCATGTTGGACATAGAATTATTTTGAGATAATTGATTTGAGTTATTGGATTGTCAGACGTGAATTGGATAAGTTTCGAGCCTCGTGTATTCGTGGGACTCGTTCACGAGTGCATGGCGTCTGCCACGTTCCCGGATTTGGGTTTTGGGATGTGACAATGTCTGCACAAGACCTATTTTGGATGGAGTGGCATTTGAAAAGATATCTAAAGAACAAAATACAACTATTACTAGACCATTCAGCGAGGAAGAAATCAAAGAAGCGGTATGGGATTGTGGATGCAATAAATCTCCAGGGCCAGATGGTTTTAACTTTAGATTCTTCAAGGAATTCTGGCAAGAAATTAAGAAGGACATGATTGGTTTTGCTCAAGAGTTTCAGCAAAATGGGATAATCAGAGGAGCCAATGTTTCCTTTATTACCTTAATCCCAAAAGTATCCAATCCTCACAAAATTAAAGAGTACATGCCGATATCATTGACTGGGGCAATGTACAAAATCATTTCAAAGATTTTAGCTAACTGACTTAGAGTGGTACTTCAAAAGGTGATTGATGAGCAACATATGGCCATCTCAAAAGGAAGACAATTATCGAAAAGGGTGGTTCTTGCAAATGAGATTATTGATGAAGAAAAAAAAAGGAGTTTTATGCTAAAATAGACTTTGAGAAGGCATATGACAAGGTCAACTGGAGTTTCTTAGATTACATGTTGATGAGGCTCGGATTAGGAGACAAATGAAGAGGATGGACTAGTGAATGTTTGCAGACTAGCATGCTATCAGTTTTGATTAATTGGAGTCCTTCTAGACAATTTGGGATGTCGAAAGGATTGAAACAGGGAGACCCTCTGTCTCCATTCCTCTTTCTTGTGGTTGCAGAAGGACTAAATGGAAATCTTAAAGATAGTAGTGAAGAAAAGGTTGTTTGAAGGAATTGAAGTAGAGTAGAAAGGGATTAGATTTTCTCATATACAATTCGCTAATGATACCATTGTGTTCGAGGAAGCTACAGAGAATAACATATGGGTTGCTAAGTGCATCATGAGGTTATTTGAACTAGCTTCAGGCCTCAAGATTAATTTCAGCAAAAGCCAGTTAATCAGACTGAATGTCGAGGAGGAATGGTTAAACAAAATGGCTTAGTTGCTGCACTACAAGATTGGTGACATGCCGTTCAAATATCTAGGGGTGATGGTTGGGGGAAATCAGAGGAAATTGGAAATGTGGCAACCATTGATTACGCTATTTCAGAAAAAATTGTCGAGTTGGAAAGGAAGATGGCTATCCTTTAGAGGAAGAATCACATTGATCAACTCTGTGCTCTTGGCTCTCCCAATTTTCCTTATGTCTGTCTACCTTGTCCCAAAAGGTATTTTAAAAGTTATTGATAAAATTAGGAGGGATTTCTTATGGGGGGCGTGGGGAGAGGAAAAAGGTTCATTGGGTTAAGTGGAAGAGGGTTTGTCAAAATAAAAAAGAAGGGGGTTAGGCACCAAAGACCTCAGATTGTTTAACTTGTCTTTACTTGGTAAATGGTGGGGACGTTTGGCAGAGGGTAAAGAGAGTTAGTGGTTATCAATTATTGTTGAAAAATATAGTGGCGGAGATGAGAATTGGGAAAATTGGGTTCGATAGGGCAAGGGGAGAGGGTCAACTTGGTGGCGTGATGTGTGTAAATTAGATGTAGCATAACACACTAGAAATGAATGGCTATCTGAAGGTTTCAAATTCATAGTAGGTGAGGGTGGAAGTGTTAGCTTTTGGAGGGATAAGTGGAGGGAGTTTGGAGAGTTGGCTAACATGTTTCCAAGACTTTATTTGATCTCTGCAGGCAAAGACTATAAGCTAAACCAAATGGGAAGATGGAATGATGGAATCTGGAAGTGGAACCTTCGATGAAGAAGATAGCTTTACTCATGGGAACAAGATAAAGTAAAGGAGCTAGACAACATTCTACAAAAGATAAAGCTGATACAAGAAGAAAAAGATTCGTGGAGATGGAAATTCAACTCAAGTGGAAGATATACGTTGAGCTCAGGATACGCAAGATTGGTTGGTAATAAAAGCTCAACCCAAAAAAGAATCTATGAAAGGGTTTGGAACCTGGTGATCCCTCACAAAATATGTGGTTTTGTTTGGCAATTAATTATTGATAGATTACCAACTAAGGCTAACTTACTTAATAGAGGGATTTTAAAAGAATCTCAGGAAACTAAATGCTCCTTGTGCAATGATTGTATTGAAGACAACAACCATCTATTTCTGCACTGTAGAATTTCTTCCCAGGTCTGGTCATATGGTTATAAATGGTGGGAATTAAAATCTGTTACAGAAAGCAGTGTATGGGAGGCCTTTGAGCAACACGAAGGGTTGATGATTAATGGTCCATTAAAGGTAGGTTGGGAGTCTAGGTGGTTTGCAACAGCGTGGACCATTTGCAATAGCAGAAATGAAATAGTTTTCAATAACAAGTCAATTGATATCGAAAGAATTTTTGATTCTATACAAATGAAGTCTCATCAATGGTTAAGTAATAGAAGGAAGGAATGGAAATTCTCAATATCTAACTGGATTCTAAACCCAAGGGAGTGTCTAAGTAGTAAATGAAAAAAGTGAGGTTCCTTCATACACACAAGTAATTACTAGTCGGAATTCTCTTCCGATTGAGGTCTTCAACCTTGTAAATGGGTCAAGTACCCCTTGTGGTTGAGGTCATCAACCTTGTAAACGAGTTTGAGTACCCATTATACTCATTTAATAAATTTGCTTTTCAAAAAAAAAAAAGAAGTATATACTCACTACTAGAAATTAATAAAAAATTAACTAGTATTTAATTAATGCTTTTGACTATTGTTTCCATGTACATAAGATCAATTTCCCCTTTTTTTAACAATGTGCTAAAAATAAAAAAAGTTAGTTCGATATTGAAAAAAAAAGTATCAAAAATATATGAAGTACTTCAAATCATATACTACATTTTTTTTCAAATAAAAGAAAAAAGATAAATAACCTTATTAATAAACATATCAATTCATCAAAAAGATAACAAAAAAAAAAATCAATAAAATATAAGATTTCGTTTAGTCACATCTAGCTTTTTTATTGGAATTCAACTTGTGTTATTTATCGAAAAAGAGTAAAATTTTGTAATTGATTTTTTTAGAAATTAATGCATATCAATTTTGATTTTTAAAAATAATTAGAATCTCAATTTATATCTAAAAATTAAAATTTTATTCTATTAAATATTGATATTTAGATTCAGAAACCCATTATATATTTTAATATAATTAATTTTTAAATATAAATATCAACATTTAATAAGATAATTTTTTTAATTATTTTTGAATTCAATTTTAATTAAATAAAATAAAATAATTTAAAATTAAAACTCTAATTTTTTTGAAAGTCTAGATGAATATGCATTTTTCTTAACTTATAAATAAAT